AAGTCGAATCTCCTTACGAATCTCCTTATGTTTCCTGAGAAATAAATGTATATCATATTTCATTTCTATTTTATTTTCTGTTTCAAATGTAATGTATATTGTGTAGATCTGTTATTTTTCTAAGCTTCTGAACTTATTGCATCAGTGTACACCAGTTCAGAACTTACAGTGGAAAAAGAACAGACCTTGCAATAAAGTAGAAAAAGAGAAAAGGTTACAACAGAGAGAAGAAGTGAGATGGAATATCAGTGCCTTGATTGGTTACATACCTCGCTCGCGCATGTGCAGTTCATTTTTATCCATGCTGACATCAAAGGTGCCGACATAGAGTTGCGCTACTGTATATACTGTGGTATAACGGTGCGGTCCCATGTAATGCGGAACTACGGAAATGCGGAACTGCGGAACGTTCTTGATGGGTTCCGCCGATTCCGTTCTGCTAAAGTACGTTTCCTAGTGTCCCATTGAGCGGAACTTGCGGAATGCGCAATTAGCGCCAATTGCAAGAGTGTTCTCGTAGATAGCTTTCATTAGATCTACCGGAATAGCGTTTGTCATTGGCTCGCATCGATTGCGCATTCGCAAGTTCCGCTCAATGGGACACTAGAAAACGTACTTTAGCGGAACGGAAATCACATATACATACAAGAACGCTTGCCAACTATGTTTATAGTGTATCGATTTTGATTTACATTTTCGCCCTCCCGTATATAGCATGAAGTGGAGATTATTAATTTAATAAGAAGATACAGACATCGAGTAGCTGCGCTCCTATAATAAACGTACAACTCGTAATCTGGTTTAATTCCACGTGCGTCTCGCATATTATTTACTCTCGACACGACTCTCTCCGTGTCTGACGACTCTAATTAATTGAAGAAGTACAGTCTCTGCTCCCATTTTATTCTACGGATTAACTTTCGAATAGGTAAGTGGATTTTCGAAACATACGAAAGATCACTCGATCGAGGCGAACGCTTTAGTAGAGTGCTTCTTCATTTGGATATTTTTGGAAAGTGTTATTAATCGTGCCTTTGTATTCTCATCTATCATGGAGGTCTCCTCGTTCGTTTGGACGCGTATACGGGCGGTGTGAAAGCGTCGTGGACGCGGGCGCCAAGTGTTTGGAACGATTCATTTTTCATTTGTATCATCCCTTTTTTAGGTTTCTCGTTATACATTAATATTGAAAATATTTTCGAAACGCAAGTAGGTAGGTAGGGTACTCAGATACCCCAAAAGAATTTTATTTTTATAATTATTTTTTACTAGAATATTATATTTAAATGTACATTAGTATTGCCTTACTGAGATGTAAAAGTAGTGAATTTTAACACTTCAGGATAATATTTTTTATTAAGAAGTACTTTTGCTGCTTTCATTTTTATGGTTTAAAGAGGTTTTATGGTTTTATTGTGTTTCAGTTTGAGTTAGTAAAGGCCAAGTTTATTTCAGTAGCAGAGGGCCTTCAAAAAAGCAGATAGGTACAGATATATACAACGTAAAAAAAATAACACGGTTGTTTGTCTGCCATTGCAGCAATGTATTCAGAAAAATTGTTTATTGTTATTTGTGGACTATTGAAAAAATTAAAACAAAATCAGAGCGCATTTTATCAGCAGGGATTACGCCGGAAGATTGCAAAATTGTATATTCTGTATACAATTTCCAAAAAAAAGAGAAAAGAAAAGAGAACGAAGGTTTTGGGTACGACCTATATTTACTACAGAAAGAAGATTATTGCAAGGAGCAAGTGCAAATCTTGCGAATGAAATGCAGGCTGAAGATAATGAAAAATATATTGAGTATTTTAGATTGCCACCAATTATTTCATGAGTTACTAAAATTAGTCGGACCTGTTATCACCAAAGAACATGTTGTTCGCGATCCTATTTCTCCTGAAACTTGACTACACATAACACTGCGATATCTAGCATCAGGAGATAGCATGAAATCACTGTTGTATGCCTTTAGAGTTGGACACAACACTATCTCAAAAATTGTGAGAGGCGAGGGGACTCACACTAATCAAGCACCCTGAATGTGAGAGGCGAGGGGACTCACACTAATAAAGTGAGCCCCCTCGCCTCTCACATTCGGAGTGCTTGATTAGCGTGTTTTCTTTCAAGATTCGAATCGTTATTCCTGGGTAATGCTAAAAGTAAATAAAAAAAGTTGACCTTGAAATGACCTTGAAGGTCATCTTCAATGTCATGCTCTAGGTCACTACTAAATGAATACGTCTTGTTAAAGTTATTAGTTTTGGTCGTTACAAAAAAAAATTGAAAAGCTTCTATTCCAAAAGACATCCAGACCTTGCTCGAGTTTAAATGAGTGACTCTCAAGGTCAAACACTACCTATGACTTAAGTACATATCTGAACGTAAAATTTCCCGTTCTTTCGATTGCCGGTGTCAAAAAAAGGGGTTTCTATTTAAAAAACCAAAGTTAACCTTGAAATGACCTTGAAGGTCAAGCTCAAGGTCAAATCGAAGGTCATCGTTGAATTCCTCCTTGAAAGTTACTTCAGAAATGACCTTGATCTTTTTCAAAAATACCTTACTTGAGAAAATATTCAGTTGTCCCGGGACTTATTTGACACCCTGTATGATATTTAATGTTCATTGTTCCATTATTACAATTTCGGCAAATGTCATCTTAATGAGATCATCTTTAATGCCTGTCCCGATAACATTAAACAAAATATAAATAAACAATATAACAAAACCGTTGCGTATCCCGAAGTCACATAAGTTTAAATTTGAACAATTTTACAAATTTCTAACATTAAATTAAAATAGAAATTTGTATATTCTTCAAATTTAAACTTATGTGACTTCGGGATACACAACGATTTATTTATATTTTGTTTAGTTTAATGTTATCGGGATAAGCATTAAAGATGACCTCATTAAAGGTCAAAAAATTTGCCGAAATTGTAATAATGGAACACTGAACATAAAATATCATATAATTCAACAGCACGATCTTGCTTAGCTCTACAGCCTATCCTGACACATTTTAATTATCATTTGCTTCTGCAATCTTTCTTGGATACAAATTTTAGACTAATCTCCCATTAGGTTACATACTTCCTGCCACAACGCCTTTTTTTTTTAAATTACTTCTTTCGTTTGCAGGTATTCTATGATCGAATAATGCTAGCTTGCGAGCCACACAAGTAATAAGTAATTCGTCTATGTTAACTTCCTGCTGCACGTCATCTTCATTATTTGTCAGCTGACATGTGTTAGTCCCAGGTTCGGACAAATTATTATCGTACTCTTCTCTCACCACTAAAAATTAAAATTGATAAAAGTATAAATTCGATATTGAATTGTAGTACAAAGCATGGTGTGAACAAATTATCCATCCTACAAAAACAATATTGGACAATGATAAGCCTACTTTATTGCAGTCAATTTATCAATATTCAATATTTTTTTACTGTAATAGTAGATTGACGTCATTTTATGTTTATTTTCTCAATAATGAATGACACAAATAATATATAAATCGTTTTGATCTAACGAATAAAACTTACCGACAGTAACTATGGAATTTTCATCTACGTTAAATGCATTTATTTCATCGTCAAACGGATAAAAACATGAGTGTTTCATTAAATCATAGGATTGTGGGAGATAATATCCACAATAACCACATTTTCGAACCTAATGCAAACAACAAAAACGATTACATCATAACCTCACACATTCCTGTCTGTCTAAAACCACAATTAAATTGAACAAACTTTAACAAAAAGTCAGATTAAATTACAATATAATAATTATAAGTGATTAATATAACAAAAACTTACGATTTTCTCTTGAACCTTCAACATGTCGATAAAATATCTTTTTTGGTTTTAATCGCCTAGAGGTGCTTTCTAGCAATGACACAGTAAACAGTGAATAATTACGCATCGACGAAATGGCGGAATCCGCCAAAAAACTAATTTTGCGGAAAGAAAGCGGCGGATTCGACGGAACGAAGCCACTAACCAATCACGAACATTCCGCATTTCCGTAGTTTCGCATTACATGGGGCCGCACCCTAATTATTCGGGTCTGCCAGCAAGTCTGTTCAAAATGATTACTGGACAAAATGAAGTTACTGCGGACGTGACAGCCGCTGTAAATATCGCCTGATTGGTTGCTGCTCCGTTGCATGACGCTTGCTGCGTCCAGTCTGAACTAGGCATTAAGCCTACAATAAGACTGATTCAATGTGATTGGTCCATTATTGGTCAACAGCCAGAGTTGGCAGTCGGGTCTAGAGACCCTATACTAAGAGTCTGGCCAATGTTGCTAGTTTGACAAAACATGGCGTCGTCGTACATAACCTTATAGTATAAGGGACTCTATACATAACCACAAACGTGACGTGATCGATTAATTTGAGACACTTCATTGGCTCCGCCATATTTTGTCAAAACCAATAGGATGGATGACAACATTGGCCCGACTCTTAGTATAGGGTCTCTAGTCGGGTCGGCTTGCAGAGTCGGTAGTCTGATACGGGCTTTAGTCGTACAAATTGGCTGTTGGTCAACTTCACCGATTCACCAATAAGACTTCGGACTATAGACTACCGACTCATTGTACAATTAGCTTAAAGTGTATAAAGTGCGTATTATTTTCCGCAACACAAGGTAAGTATGAACTACGATTGAAGACTTGCGATAAATTTGTTTGATATCATCCTTCTCGCTCCTCTCCCTCCCCGTCATATTTAACGCGTTATGTACTATGTGTAGTATACCAGCGCTTCCCTTTCGATTGACGTTTCACTTGATAAGGGATTTCGGCGTACAGGTTATATACGACAGTTGTCAAAGGCAATGTTTTGAGACGTCTTGTTTCGTCGTGACAATTCGCTGAGATTCGTTCCGTGAATCTCTGCTGGTCTCTGCTCCACCTTCCGCCTGGATCGGAGTCATCTTTACGCGCGGCCTTTCCGATATCCGAATTCGCAACTCCGCGCTTGCCTTCACTTGCCTTCCAGGCAATGTCAAGAAGTGCACTCTCAGCCGAGCGCTAAATCGTGATTTGTCGCAATCGAGATCCTTTGAGAATGGCTGATGAGCTGGTGGAAACACCACGGGGCCTCAATAACGAGGACACCGAGTGTATCGTTGATACCGAGATCGACGGCGATGATGACGACTCCGACGGAGTCATAGTTCCGGAACTTCAGGGTACACTATCCAAATGGACAAATTACATACATGGCTGGCAAACTAGATTTATTGTACTCAAAGATGGTACTTTGTCTTATTACAAATCCGAGCAGGACAGCGGATATGGATGTCGCGGTTCAATTAGTTTGTATAAAGCTAATATCAAGGTGAGAGGTCATGCAAGATGAGATTCCTCTTAACGAATATGTTTAACATTGTAAACATAATGACGCAAACAGTTATGATAATAAACAATTACATTAAGTTATCCGTTTAACAGGCACATCAGTTTGACGAATGTAGATTCGATGTGTCCGTAAACGATTGCTTGGTTTGGTATTTAAGGGCAAATAATCCAGAAGAGAAGCAGCGATGGGTAGACGTCTTAAAGTCTTACAAGGTAATGATACGCCGAGACCCTATCTTGTACTCCAGATAATAGTTTATTTTTACCACATTATATAAATTATACAATTGTTTTAATAATACATGCTAAAGTCTCTTGTCTTAAATATTGCAATCTTTTTTATTATATACTTTATGTATTTTTATGAAATTTGATCAATATTTGTAAATAAAAATTAAAATTCCACTGAAAAAATTTGTGCTCGGTGATTGGCAATTTTCATTTGTCGCAAATAGTCAGAATCCGGCTATGGAAGCGAGAATAGTCTCAAACGACACGGTAGTGCCATTTCGCTCGTATCAAATACACAATCGACAACGAGCGCCGGTAGCCTTACTAAACGTGGCATTAGAGGATTGAAGGAAAAGTTGGCCGAAATTGAAACGTTTAGAGATATTTTAATCAAGCAGATCGATACTCTGCAGAAGTATTTCGATAATTGTGCGGAAAATGCCAAGAATACTTCTAAGGAAGGTAATAACTTTTAACTTGTAAATTCTTCATATGCTTCTGTCTCTTGTTCTAAATATTTAAAATAAATTCATAATGTAAATTTATGATATAAATATATAATGCGCAATTTTAAATACATAATTGTAATTTGTAATTATTATATAAAATACATAGGAAAAGCCTTAACATATTTTGTTAATTTTGTGGCGACAAATTTCAGAACAGATAATTGAAACAATGTTTAATCCAGCCGAACAATCGGTGGATTTCAAAGGAGAAGCGATAACATTTAAAGCAACCAGTGAAGGGGTGTTGGCGACTTTACAACATTGCGTCGAATTGATGGTACAACGAGAGGATGCATGGCGTCGTAGATGGGAGAAGGAAGTTGAAAAGAAACGAAAATTGCAAGAACTTTATAAAGCTCTGAAAGATCAAATTGCCATGCATCATAACGGCTCTCCGAGGCCTAGGGTTGTTATACACGGAGGTCCTGATTACGAGGTTGGTTCTTTTTCCTCATAATTCCATCGCTGTGCAACCATTTTGATTTGTATATATGGATTTGTGTATATGAACTGAAAGTCATGCGTTGAAAGTCCGACAACCATATCGGCACGCAATTATAATTTCTGAAATTAATTCATTTAAATGAATTTACAATAGTTCAACATCTTAACGTTCTGACCGTTATGACGCTTCTTAATTTAAAGCATTGTAGTTAACATTAGCGGTCTTTCAATCTTATTATTGTATATGAACAGAATTATTGTTCTCGAAATTACAATGTCATCCTATAACAATCTCTCTAAATAAAGTATTCGTTTTTAAAATCGAAAAGCACAATGTAAATAAATCGTAGCATATGGAATAAAGGTCGGGATTGGATTCGAGTTCTGGAGTCGAATCCACCGCTTTTCTGCACAAAGTGATGCGTCGTCTTGAATTTCTATTTAGTGAAATTCTTATTTTAGCATTTTTAAGTTATACACAAATATATATACAATATTTATAATTGTATATTGCATATACACTTCCATAATATACTACATAATATAGCACAATAATAAAATAAAAAACAAGTAAAAAATTTAAGAATTAAAAATATTTTTTTGTACGTGGTTGAGATCTCCAACAATGATATGTAGACATCATGTATCTACTTAAGTTGTTTGTCCACTACATTATATAACACATTAACAGCACATATATAAGTATCCTTTATACAATCACAATATGTGATAGCTTTTAAAAGAAGTAGAAACTAGAGAAATATATGAAATTGACGACTTAAATGAATATCAGAGAGTGTCGCTAGAAATATATTTTAAACTTCAACATATTTTTACATTTTATTATTATATAGGGTGGGCCATTTTAATCGATCCACCTGAATTTCTCGGAATCTAAGCGAGATAGAGAAAAATGGTCCAGACAAAAGTTGAAGGGGACAGAGGGGGTCACCTAATGGTGCCAAGGACCTTGATCTTGAACTCGATTTTCAAGGTTATTTGAAGGTCATGATCATTTTTTTAAATGGAATTATATGAATTTTTTTACATAATATGATTCCTCTAATTATTCTGCATATAAAAGTATTAAGGTAGCGATATCAAAAAACCAATAGTTTACGAGATATTTTATATTTCATTGTGGCACATATTGACATAAAATATTAAATAATTCGTAAACTATTAATTTTTTGATAACCATACCTTAATACTTTTATGAACAGAATAATGAGATGAATCAATTAGTGGAAAGAAAACACATAGTTGCTTATTTAAAAAATTATCCATTTTGCATACATATTTTTTTAAAGCAATGTGTTTTCTTTCCACTAATTGATTCATCTCATTATTCTGTTCATAAAAGTATTAAGGTATGGTTATCAAAAAATTAATAGTTTACGAATTATTTAATATTTTATGTCAATATGTGCCACAATGAAATATAAAATATCTCGTAAACTATTGGTTTTTTGATATCGCTACCTTAATACTTTTATATGCAGAATAATTAGAGGAATCATATTATGTAAAAAAATTCATATAATTCCATTTAAAAAAATGATTATGACCTTCAAATAACCTTGAAAATCGAGTTCAAGATCAAGGTCCTTGGCACCATTAGGTGACCCCCTCTGTCCCCTTCAACTTTTGTCTGGACCATTTTTCTCTATCTCGCTTAGATTCTGAGAAATTCAGGTGGATCGATTAAAATGGCCCACCGTGTATATAATTATCCATTTTTGGGTATTATCTTGGTAACTATCACTTAGTATTAATATTTTTTACGATAAGGATTCGTCAGAATTTTTTCTATTTCTATTCATATATACACAAGTGTTCCAAAATTTTTTAATCAAAATATACAATAAGGAAATTAAATAAAAAAGTTATACAAGTATTTGCCACTTGTCGTGTCAACCAGTAGTTTTTCGAGATATAAATGTTAAAAAATTAACTGATTATAGATTATGATTAAACAATCATTTTTAACTTTTATGCCGCAAAAACTTTTACTCAGAACGACAAATGGCAAGTACTTTTACAGCTCATCTCCTTACAAAAACTTTCTTGTTGCGATATTTGGATTCGCGACATTATGTACAAAAATCAGTTATTATTTTTTTCTTTAATTTTTTGATCTTAAATCTGTGAGTCTTTTCTTGTCTCAAATATTTTATATAAATACTTTTAATCCTTTTAATAATTACTTATTTATGATAAATCTGTTATGAGACATATTGAAATTCTTTATAGATGATATAAGTAGCGCTTATGTGATAGAAAGTAAGAAAGATGCGTTTCTGGCCATATTTCGCAATTATGAATTAGGTCACTATTTTGGAAATCTTTTACTTGCTTAATATCTTCCAGACCACCAAAGAGTAAAACCTTACGTATTTACTCTTTGTATAAACATTTGTGTATATCATTTCAGTTTTAACATTAAAAAATGAAGTTGAAAATCAAGTTTTATAATGTGAATTTTAGGCTGTGTTTGGAGCGCGCGTTATCAGCGCTTTTGTGTCGTATCTTTATCATTAATTGAACGTAAAATAAGCCTAAAATAACGTATTAGCGCTAATAGCACGCTCTTTGAACACGGCCTTAATTGTATATAGAATAGCGATATTTAAATGTACATGGAATTTCTTTATGTGTTTATGTTTATAGTGAATTATAAGTTAAGATTCAGAGAAATAATGTGCATTATAACTTTCTTCAATAACATTTAAAATTTCGTTTTTAAGGAAGGTCCGCACAGTGCTCTTTGCGATGAAGAATTTTACGATGCCGTCGAGACGGGTTTGGACAAAATCGAGGAGGAAAATCAATTAAGAGATCGTTTAAAACAAAAATCTGTCTCAATTTTAACATCCCCCACCACAACAGCATCTACGCACAGGCTATGGCCAGAAGTAATTATATTTCTTTTTATAATAATATCATTTTTAGACCGCGTATGTGAGAGACGCAACCGATAAATAAGAGCCCTATACGGTCGAAGCTAGATCTTAAAATGTTTTAAATAAATCAATCTTGAATCACTAAATATGATATATATGTACTTGACATATACAGGGTGTCCGAAAAGTGTGAAAACGGTCGAATATCTCGAGAAATACACATCGGATCAGAAATCTGAAAATATTGTATTCAATGTTTTCAAAAAAGCTATCTTTGACATGACCCCCACCCCCACCCGCTGTGGGTGAAAGAGAGGGTAACTTTAAAATTTTAAATGGGAACCCCCATTTTTTATTGCAGATTTCGCTTCTTCAGAAAAAGTTACATAAATTTTACCTATTACAAACATTTTTTTTATGACAGATGGCGCTGTAATCAGCGAAATTAAAAATGAGTAAAACGTTTAAAACTCGTTTAAAATATCTCAAGAAATACTCAACGGAGCATATTCTCACCCTGGAGGTGGATGGGCGGGTAACTTTTCGATTTTAATTTTTTCTTTTTCTGTCAAAGCCATTATGCCCGATTACAACGACAGACAGAATACTGAATAAAAAAGATGGAAATTTTTAAGCAAATAGTGAGAAGAAAACGGAAGAAATATTAAATAATTAGTTAGAAGAACTTAAACTGGTATAAATATATGCACACATATGCATTAAAAAGATAAGTATGTATTTCCAATACAAATTTTGCTTGGAAACATACATACATATGTATGAAAGTTCAAACACAGAAAGTTAATGTTTAGGCTGGAATTTTGTGCAATAAAATTATTGGGACTTTCATCATCTAAGATATTTTCACATCTGCGGAGGGCTCTTTGCACAGAAAAACATTTCTAATGAATACATATGTATTATGTAGTATGGAACATTCATTGAACTCATTGCTACGACTTGCCCACCGGAAAATCTTCTGAGTCTCGAGGAAACGAAGTATGCGGCCCTGTTGAAAAAGTACGAAAACGTACGATTCGCGTACGAAAGGACTTTGTGTCAATGGATAGCTTTCTTGAAAACATTGAATACGTACATTTTTATTGTTTTGATCCTTTGAGTATTTCTTGAGATATTTTAAACGTTTTAGACTCATTTTTTAATTTCGCTGATTACAGCGCCATCTGTCATAAAAAAAATGTTTGTAATAGGTAAAATTTATGTAACTTTTTCTGAAGAAGCGAAATCTGCAATAAAAAATGGGGGTTCCCATTTAAAATTTTAAAGTTACCCTCTCTTTCACCCACAGCGGGTGGGGGTGGGGGTCATGTTAGATGTCAAAAGATAGCTTTTTTGAAAACATTGAATACGATATTTTCAGATTTCTGATCCGATGTGTATTTCTCGAGATATTCGACCGTTTCCACACTTTTCGGACACCCTGTATACCACGATTGTAGTCTAACGAAGTGTGCACCGAAATATTTCCGGACTAAACACAATTAAACCACTGTAGTAATTTCGCAAATTAAATTAAAATTCTAATAATTTCGATGCTCAATCAGGCATCATATTTCAAAGATATTAATATGCTGAAAAACTGTAATTAAACTTATTGCGAAAAATATTATCTCGGCCGGGAGTCGAACCCAGATCTCTTGTATTCCGTACGAGCGTCCTGAGCCATTAGACCACCGAGGCCATATGATGCCTGATTGAGCATCGAAATTATTAGAATTTTAATTCGCGAAATTACTACAGTGGTTTAATTGTGTTTAGTCCGGAAATATTTCGGTGCACAGTTCGTTAGACTACAATCGTGGTATATATGTCAAGTACATATACATATATCATATTTAGTGATTCAAGATTGATTTATTTAAAGCATTTTAAGATCTAGCTTCGACCGTATAGATTTCTTTTTATATTTTACATTTTTCTAATTTATCAGAATACTTTGAAATTTTACTCATATATTAATGATTATTAAAAAATTAATTTGTAACATCAATTAATTGTAATATCATTGTGGTATCAGATATACCATAAGTAAGTTCCTAACAATATTAATTCCAAATATAACAGTAACTACTAATTATTTATAAATATTCGTTGTATCTAACTTTTTGTTACTTCATATTATCAATTTGTAGATAGAAAAAATTACGATGGAACAGCTGCATTACGCTCGGCTTGGCGTAGGCGGAGCGGGTGGTTGGCAATTATTCGCCGAAGATGGTGATATGCGGATGTACCGACGGGAGGAGGAGGCCGATGGACTAGTTGTAGACCCTCTCAAAGCGTGTCACGTCGTTAAAGGAGTGACCGGTCACGAAGTCTGCGAGATATTTTTCAGTCCCGAATATAGAAGCGGTTGGGAAGCCACTTTGGAGGACATGGCAATTGTCGAAAACATTTCCAAGGATACACTATTATTTCTACAAACGCACAAACGTATCTGGCCAGCAAGCCAACGGGATGCGTTGTTCTGGTCGCACATACGTCGTGTGTCCGATGATCAAGATCGCGATGCTCATGACCTATGGATAGTCTGCAATCACAGTACTGAACATCCCGATCATCCGGTATGTATTATACGTTTAAAAATTACGTTTAGAAATATAAAAACTTCTTTGCTTCGAATAAGTTTCAACACGTTAAATGAAATTATCGTTGCAGCCAAACGCGGGTAAATGCGTAAGAGTCTATTTGACGGTTTGTCTCGTATGCCAAACATTTATTGATCCCCCGAAGGACGAGGAGGAAATAAAAAGGGAGAACATTACGTGTAAAATAACGTACTGTTCAGTTGGTTAGTATATTGATGCTCAATGATTTAATTGCTCTTATTATATAATTGTCGTAATATATTTAAAACGTCTGTATAAAAACTTTGAAAGCTTTTTTCTTTCTTTCTGTATCCATATTTAATTATATGAGAATATTTGTATATATCCTGTTTTTTTTTTCATGCACTTATATTTTGATTTAAATTTTAGTAAATCCAGGTGGATGGGCTCCGGCGTCTGTTTTACGAGCCGTTTACAAGAGAGAATATCCAAAGTTCCTTAAGCGTTTTACGAACTTTTGTATCGATCAATGCAAGAATAAGCCAATCACATTTTAAATGTGAATGATGTGAAAAAAGAAAAAACTTCAATGTTTTCCATCCAATTCCTTATTCACTATCTCGAAGTGTCTTCACATGATTATTGTAAAAACAAGTTTGTATTGTTACATACTGTAGGAATTGTAGAACGGCCATTACGATGTAAGTGAAACCGTTTTGTATATTACCTTTTTTTCTTTTTTTATTTGCTTAAGATAATCGATTTATATAGCTTGCGAATTAGGGGAGACGAACCGTTATATTAAAAGTCATTTATGATATAAATGAGTGTGTAGCAATTGTATACACTTGGACAAGAAACTTCGATTGAAGCACGCGGCTGCAGCACCGTTTACAGACTATCCTTTTTCTCTTCGAATAACAGCCTATTATTTGTTATACAGTAATATGCTGTCGCATATAATCCAATTGTACAAATCTTCAACAAAAAATTGGATATATATACATTTATCTCTTGTTATATACATTACAATATAATTAAACGCTGAATTGTATCATATCAAATTATACTGTTATTTTTATTCGTACATAAAAATGTGTACATCCTATAATATAAAGGTCACATGAAAAAAGGTAATAAAGACTGTTGTAGATTTATTAAAATAACAATCGTTTCCACATCATGCTGTTCATCAACCTTTTATCTTGTACAATAAAAACGTGGAATTTCTTTGTGTATAGTAATACATTCATTTCTGTCAATTAAACGAAATTTAAGAAATTCTATATTTTACACACACACACACACGCACACGCACACACACACACACACACACACAATGTTTCATACATGTATATATACGAAATGAAGACTTCAAATATAAAGTCACATGACAATCTTGCAGACTTTTACATATTAGGTGAACCAAAAGCAACCGTGACTAAGGTTATCTTCGTTTTCAGGGATCAGAAGACAAAGATAGCCTCAACCGCGGTTGCTTTTGATTGCTATACCAGAAGCACGCCAAAAATCGCCTATTACTATAATAGAAAGGCAGATAGTTTCACACTGAAGGAAATCATTTTTACAATTTCAATTATATTTATACTTTTAGAAAAAAGTTTGACAAATATAAGGAAACAGGAATAAAGTTTTCATTCGGTAGTACGTAAGTAACAATAAAAATTAATCGAAATGTTGAATATTTAGAGCTATATATAAATATATATTAAATGCAACATCATTTTATACCTAACTGATAGAATAATTTAAACGAATATAATCTGAAATATGACAGTCACGAATTTAATTTCATTACATTAATACTTAATGTTCACATTCAATGTTTTACAGAAATCACGATATTTGGCTGTATCTTCTTCAAAATCTTTTATCTTTATCGTATCTTATTTGAAATTATATCACATTTAATAATCAAAAAATACATGAGTTTATTAGAGTTTAGTATCAAACAGCTAGTAAATTTTTTAAAGTACTTGGTTTAAAGTACTTTTTTACAATTATATAACAAATCATAAAATTGCTGCGCAAGTCTAACTTAAGTCCACAACGTTTTTTTAAGTATAAAAAACATTTCATTGCTCGTTAAAAAATTTGTAGCCTATATTTGTATGTATGACTTTCCTTATGATTCATAGGAGCCTAATTTTTTTAGTACACTAAGACCCTTCTCTTCATACTCCTCCCGTGTTATCCATACAGAATCTCGATCCTTCGTTATTTCCGCTAGTACAGCACCACCCATGAAAACCATGTCTTTTCGTCGGGGTGAGTCTTCAATTTTTATCTTAAATTTCTATAAAAATATTTACGTAGCATAAGCATCTGCAGTACACACACGCGCACGCGCACGCGCGCACACGCATGCGCACGCACGCACGCACACCTGAGTATTGTTAATCATATGACATGCTTACATTCAATTTAGTGGTATCATTTTTTAATACTCTTTGAAGATAAAGTTGCTTAATTTCTCGTTCAAGCCTTGACGGAAGCCCTGGATACATTGTACTACCTCCGCTCAGAACGATGTGCTTGTATAGTTCGCTTCTGATATCGATATCAGCTGCTTGAATTGTGCTAAATACCAGCTCGGCTATTCCTTGCGCCTCAACGTTAATCAAATGAGGCTGAAAAAGCGCTTCCGGTGCTGCAAATCTCTCACCGCCTACTTTGATCACACGACCATCAGGAATTTGAAAACATTATATATACATATATATATATATATATAGCGCACTTTCTAAGGAATGAATACCTATTAATTTCATGGAAAAAAAAAGATTTTGCTAATAAATGTAAAAATTTAACTAAATCTAAAAATAATAAATAAAGCATGTGCGTCTTATATATTATCCAATAGTTTAACAAAATTATTTTCAGATTTATGTCTAATTAAATTTCTAGACAAACCGTTCTTTCTGTGTTTATGCGGTATTCCGCAAATTTGGTATCCCGTGATGCGTGTTCTATTTATTCTTTCACGAAGGACACAATTCCAGCGAAACCATACTTCTCAAACATCACCTGAAATAATATCAATTCTAATAATGAACAGAAAATAAAATTACGCTCGGTGTTTGCACAGCAAAACAATTCAAAATTGACGACCAAATAATGAGCAAAACAAGGTATTTTGTTTAAATTTTTTTAATGTAAATTTAACATATCTCTATAAGTAACAATATAAAGTATACGTTTCGGCTTCACAAAGCCTTCTTCTAAATCTAAAATAACTATCTCTTTCGCTTAGCTACAATTTGATATGGAGGAAATTCCATGTCAGTTGTTTGTGATAAATGATGGTGACCATGTCAAACTTCAAAAATGTTCATGCCAAGATGTAAAAACAGTTCTTTTAGATTTACTGAAGAAGGCTTTGTGAAGCCGAAACATATACTTTATACTTTATATTGTTACTTATAGAGATGTTAAATTTACACTAAAAAAATTTAAACAAAACACCTTTTGCTCGTTATTTGATCGTCGATTTTGAATTAATATCAATTCATTAAGTTTTCTATTCATATAATTTTAATTTAACTTTCTTTGGATTGCACAATGTTACCTCTATCATCTTTTCTCTATTCGTGATAGGATTCATTGGTGGCTCGGTTAACAGAATTTTACATTCTTTAGGATTAATATTCATTTTCTCTTTGCCGAAGGTGTAATCCCACACGTGACACATGTCTTCCCAGTTTCTGTTAAACATTAATTATATTACAACGTGATATATCAAATAAAATATCTGATGTGAGATATAAACATACCTAACAATCCCATTTTGCATTGGATAACTTATCTCTAACATAGAACGAAGTTTACTTGCTTCATCGCCAACCATTAAATCCTGTGAAACAATAATATATGACTATTAAACCTCTGCGTGCATCACCAAGATATATTATATTGATTTTATTATGATGCGCGATATCACTATTTTATTATATAGTAAATATATTTGTAGTATGAAAGTTCTAAATATTTGAACACTAGCTAGGTCCAAAAAGTGAACAACAAAACTGTTTTTATTACATGTGATAGAAAGAAAATCAAAGTAATTCCTGAACATGAAATTTCGTATTAGATTAGAGTAGATATCAAATAAATATTTATAAGATCACTAAATAAAAGAAGGGCTATGAGTCAATTATAATGTAAAATATTTAATAATTTAAAATTCGTACATACAATTTGATAACGTCGCTGTACATCGTCAAGGATAAATGTTATATCCAATAGTATTATGGCTTACTTTTTATTAAATATAACTTTGTTAATTGCGTTTTCTTTTCGGCGTCTAACTTACATCATTAAGACAATTTAAGATTAGAAAGTGAGATGAGATCACCTTTATGATATTTTTACATATGGACCGCATATTACGAATACAACCGACGTTTTTACTGGACATTATAATTGGTGATCGAATTTTCCGATAATTTATGTAATATTGTTTGTTGTTTTACATTGAAAATGACCCGATCGGTGTCGAAACGTTTGTATGTACGAATTTTAAATTATTAAATATTTTACATTATAATTGGCTCGTAGCCCTTCTTTTATTTAGTGATTTATGAGATCGTCCTTTTATATACTAATTGTAAGAATATATAGTTGGTATAGTAATAATAACGCAATATGTTGCTTCCGTGAGACTCAGATTATGGAATTTGTATCAGGAAGGTATTCTGTGTTAAATCAGTTTCCAAATGTGAATACCTAAGCACTTTGGAAAAAGTTTGCCGGATTATATGATACTACTTCCACATCTACAGTCGAAAAAAATTCTTCATTAAAACACTGATGTAAAGAATGTATATAGTATCAAAAAATACAATAAACTTACAGGCATGTTAAGCACATCCTACGAGAGCAAATGTAAGCACACAAATATATTAGATAATTATAGGAAGAGTATAGCTTGTACATAAGTACCAACATAATTGCAAGTAAACGATATTATTCTAATAAACATATTAGTAGAGACACATCTTCTTGCTTTGTCAAAACAGACATATTTAGTTGATAAAAAATTTGAAAGATCTCTCGCAAGAAAAACATTGTATCCAATACAATGAATACATTTATTAAGTACAATATAAAATCACTCACTTAACGATAATATTATAACTCCAAGAAATTGTTAATAAATTCATTGAATAATTAAATGAATATCTTACATTTCAAATATATATTTCCTTTCGGTTAGTAAACGTCATTAGCCTCTCAAACTGTTTTATTTACATCAGTGGACAAGCACATAGATTATTTTTAGTCAGACTTAAGCGCTAGGGGGGACATGGAGAGCACACACGATGTAATACTATATAATAGACTTACACGAACGCAATATTCTTGCTGAAAATACAATTGTTCTTATTAATTGTCTAAATACTGATAAACACGCTCAAGCAATTTAAAGCTTAGAATATATCATAGACTTTATATACAACTTAAACAAATTACATTTCTTAGAGCTTCTCGTAAATATATACTTTGCATCTTTCATAAAGTTTCAAAAATTGATTACAGTCGAAATCGAGATTTGCTTTATATTTATAAATGTAACTGTTGTTTATCATCTGCTTTACGTACGTTAACTTTTATGATAAATTAAACGATCAAGTATCAATGGAATGGTAATATATCAGTAAATCGAACATCAACTATTAGGGCACTTGTATCGAGATAAAATTGCAATTACTGGTCCCGCGTCCTTCATACAAGCTCGCCCAAGCCTGAAGCAACAAACGTACATACCTTGACGTCGATATCGCCTATTTTGTTGACAGCTCTGATTATTGGTCGTCCGACTATAGATGGGAATATGTGGGCCGGGAAGTTTGCGCCGGCGTACCCGCACTTGACAAACTGCAATGAAAAGCTGCATCGGAAAAACTGCCGGAAATATGCAAGAGTATCCGATCGTTTTGAAGCACATGTCTAATTCAGTGCATCCTCTCTTAACTAAGAATGAGGCAAATCCCCTTGCAAGGGAAATGGAAGAGGAGCGGCCTTACCCCGGTGCCATTGTCACAGACGATGATTTTCCTTCCTTTGCTGTCCATCTCGAAAAGTTAAGTATGTATCCCGTCAAAAGAATATTTCTCTATCTGTCACAATTCTTTAGACAGTTCTCATATCGCCAGCTTCATCGAGTGACTAATACCTACGGATGTTTACAGTGTTACCGGTGTGTAACACCAAAGCGACAGAGGTTACTTTCGACCAGAGTTACCATTTCGTATCACAGTCAGGATTGGTCAGGATTGTTAGGAATTTGCGCAAAAGGTAGCGAAATCCAGCGCAAAAAAAAGGAAGGGAGGGGAAAAAAGGGTGAAATCGAAATCCTCGATCCTCGGATGTATATTTACCACAAAGAAGTCTGAGAGCAGCCATGCCCGAGATTAAAGCCCAAGACACAATGGGTGCGTTCAGCAGAACGTTTG